ACACATTTCACATTAGGCAATCGTTAGCTCTTTGTTTTGTTGAGTGTTTATGATACTCTTCTCATGTAACGTTAGATTTTTCTAACCTAAAATGCAGCCTCTACTTAAGTATGTTTATTTACCATCAATCCACTTTAGGTTATAATTGCGTTTTATGAGCATTTAGCCCTACATCATGGTCGAGTTTTGTGATTTGATAACTCCCAACGCAACTTTGGTTACCCATCTTCGCAATCGGAATCAGATGCTTATATTTTTCACCCTTCCGATTTATCCCCTCTCCTCTTACTCTATGCCCACTGGTCACAGTGAAAGCATTTGCGTAAACATTTTCTGTCATATGTTATTTCACCCTTTTTTAGAAATGGGAGCACTTTTAGACACACCAAGGACGGAAAAGTTCAATGAGTCTGGCGAAGGAAACAATCTTCGATATGGCCTCTCCAGCATGCAAGGGTGGCGCGTTTCCATGGAAGATGCCCACTGCGCCATAACTCAACTTCCTGGTAACCTAAAAGATTGGTCATTTTTTGCTGTATTCGATGGACACGCTGGGGCTCTCATCTCGGAAAGATGCGCTGCAGAACTTCTCAAAGTACGCTTCTTATTCCATTCCCTACCTTGAGGTTTATAATGCTAGCTAAAATCGAGGTTGCACTTTTCTTACTTCTGGGGTTCGTGCAACTTTCTTTTAATTAGCTCACTAAAATGCACTAAGGTACTAAAATCAGTAAGATGTAAACAGTAATAGCACTGTGCTAACCTACTAGAATCTATTTCTTTTGCGTTATTCTGGAGATTTATCTGTAACTCATGCTTTTCATTCTAATGGATGGCTATATATTAGCTGCTAGTTGAAAAGCTCTCTTTTTTACTCCGACCGAGGCGTAAATCGAAATGTTTTTTTTTCAACGCAACCTTGCGTTCCATGTTCAACAGGTTGTTTAGTATCTGCCACATGTGTCACGCAACTATTTAATTACGAAATTGGTAAATCGAGTAATTCACAAATGTACACGCACAAATTTTGCATTCTTTAGCGCATCGTTGATACTGATGAGTTTAAGAAGATTGACCCGGAGTTGGCTCCAAGCATCACCGAGGTACGCCAGGGCATCCGTGAGGGCTTTCTAGCGCTGGATGAAGACCTCCGTAATCTGCCGGAAATCGCGAATGGCTCAGACAAGTCGGGCTCCACCGCTGTGTGCGTCCTCATCACCCCTAACCACATCTTCTTTGTTAACTGTGGCGACTCCCGGGCAATGCTGATACGAGACGGTGAGGTTGGCTTCGCCACCACCGACCACAAGCCCGCGCACCCCACAGAAAAGGAGCGCATTCAGAATGCCGGTGGCTCCGTAATTGTCCAACGCGTCAACGGTTCATTAGCTGTCTCAAGGTTCGCTTTGTATCCGTAACCTCCTGCAATTTGTTTTAAATTGTCGCCTCTTTTTTAATTGTCAAAACTAATTCAGCCCACTTTCTACCCATCCGATTGCTTGCGAACTATGATTCTGCCCTGATGTGTTTTTGTGTGTTTCATTTCTCTCCCTACCAAATCTTGTAGAGAGTGGCACTTTGAACCTTGCATAACTACGCGTACAGAGATCGCTTAATGAGATTATCAATTATGCTAACCTGGCATGTCATGTCTTTGTGAACCGCATTCCTCCATTACTTTTATGCTCCATATTCGACTACCCATTCCTAGCCGTTGTTCCGCAATATTTCTTACAACGATCCCTCCCCTTTACACCCTCCAAGGTCTCTGGGCGACTATTCGTACAAAACCGTGCGTGGTCTGGGTCCCACACAGCAGCTCATCTCGCCAGAACCCGAAATAACCGTGATTGACAGACAAAAAGACCGCGATCAGCTGATTGTTCTAGCCTGTGACGGCGTGTGGGATGTAATGAGCAACGAGGATCTCTGCCAGGTGGTCGGTGAGCGGATGCGCTGCGTGGACGACTTGTCGCGGGTGTGCGATGAGGTCATCGACTATTGCCTCTACAGGGTGAGCGTCCATATCCATCTGTTTCTAAGGCAGCAAATCACATTGCTCCGGTAAAATAATGCATTAAGAACCAAGAGAATGCTCTTCCTCGGTGTGTGCGTAGTCACACCCGGTAGGTACTTGATCGTTCTTCTCTCAAGTGTGGGATCACTCTGAGTTACGTTAGCATCAATTTCCGCACACATACAACAAAAAACTCATGTGGGCACGTTGTCGTTCGCTCCTGTAACTTCCCACCCTTTTTCTTCCAACAAAATGTAATGGCAAGTGTAAAAAAAACGCATTTTTTTACCCTATCCAGGGAAGTTCCGACAACATGAGCATCGTCCTGGTTGCCTTTGAGCCAGCACCGAAAGTGGACGCCGAGCTCCAGGCGAGCGACAAGCGCCTTGAGCAGACAATCGAACAGATGACAAATGGTGCGTGTCGTGGGCCTGCTTTTTTTTCTTTCTGCTTTGTGTTTACATTTTCGTTGGTGTTACAATTCGTGTGTGTGTGTGTGCGTGTGTGTTCAATTCTCACTACTTCCATAGATCACCAAACTGATCAGTGGCGTTGTGAATCGTGTCCAGGACTAGGCGTTTGCAGTTAATGCAACCTTGGTGATAGGGTTTTTCTTCCAACAGTTTTCAGCCAATCCCTCATTGTCAATTTGCTTCAGGGAAGTCTCATTGGAAACCCCTCTTTATTGGTCAATCGTGTAAACACTTGTGACTTCTATGAACACACACGAATAACACAGTTCCTAGCTGTTATAATTACCCTCCGAGATCTCCGTGTAAATTTGCTCGTGTTGTGCACGATTCCTACCGTCGAGGTGTTCTGTGTTCGACGCCGACATTCCGGCTCTTACGTTCATTGGCCAAGTGTGCACTTGACCAATGGCGAGCCAACGTCACTACGTCAACCAATCGTTGTCATGTACTCTCAAATGAACCAATCAACGCGGGACAGCACCCTGCTGAATAAGACAACCTGTCTAGGTCAACTTGCACTCTGGGAATAACTAATCCTGTAGCCCAATTTTGCAAACGCCCACTCCTAGCTAATTCACACCAATTTGCAGATGGTCACATTTTTACTTGTAGAATACCTACAGAAGGGGGTCTGTCCGCAGTCAACAAAAATGGACACCCTCTTTAGCTACATTCAAGAGAACCTGCACATGACCCTGCCAGAACACGTGCTCCACTGCAAGTACGTTCGATGCTGAATTTTCTTGTGTTTTTTTTCGGTAACTCCTTGGTGCAGCAAGATGTTTGTCATCTACGTCCTCTCTTCTCTAGAGGCGGCCTTGTTCAGCGGATACTGGACTCGTATAAGGCCTCAAGTAACACCGCCACCACCACCACAAATGGTCGCTGCTCCCCAGACTCGGATACACAGTACGTGTACCTCGTAGTTGCTGTTTTCTATTCACATCTGTGCAAACAAAATCCACTTCCACCGCCACCAATAAGGTTTCTTCCATCTGCTCGCAAAATGATTGGTCGGTTTAAGGGCGATTTTACCCGCGTCTGCCGGGGTGCGTGAGGGCTGGAGGCCGCGCTCAGTGTGGGTATCTGGTGCTTTTCTATTTCATTTTCGCGCATGGCGCTACACTTGCATCGCGCTACCGCTTGATTGATAGCATAACCGTCCGTCGCATTGGACATGCGCCCACAGTGGACCGGTGGACGTGAACTGGCACAATTCATCACGTGCGTTTCGCACCGCTACGCGCCAATCACCTCCAAGCGACTTCCCCGCCTTTCCTTGCACCCGTTTCGACTCGGCAGAAGCCGGGTTCACGATGTCCGAACTCCATCCTACTGCCCTTCAACCCAAGTCAGACAGCGCTAGATGTGTGACATAACCAGCCAGATTAATCGCAAGACTTCGTCGACGTGTGTGTGTGTGTGTGTGACAAAGTCCTCTCGTGTGTGCGTCTGGTCGTGAGATTGTGTCACCTCCAACCTGTCCCACTTACAGTCTTATTTACACGTTTTCCGGTCGCGACCAGACAAAACACCAGACTGGATTTTTTCCCCACACACTACCTCCGCACTTCTGCTGTACGAGCCGCCCAATTTTTTGGCGTTTTCGTGATCGCGCAAATGATTTGTCTCTGGCTGTTCAGACACGCACGCACACACGCACACACACTCACAACTATGATTGTGCACGCTTTTAGGTTTTCGACCATTCAGCACCTGCTGGCTCCGTACCGCGCCATTCTCGACAACGCGCCCTCGGCCCTTCGAATGTCGGCACCGCCAGCTTCCGGGGAGGCTGTCATCGATGCGGACGAAACGCCTTCCTCCACCACCACCACCACCACTACCACCGAGTCCACCACGTAACTCACCTCACCGACTGTCCTCGTAAGTCACTTTTGCCGCAAATTGCACAAAAACCAGCTGACGTTTGCCGTCCAACTTTTCCATAGCAAAGAAAATTGGAATCAAGTCCGATTCTAGGTTGTCAACATCACGATTAATGGACGTTTTACCATTTTAAAGCGTTCTTCAGACTTCGGAGTAAGTGGTAATATCTAGGGTGTCAGACCTTGGCTTGCTTTGGTGATACACGACGCCTTTGCGACTTGCCAATTCTGGCTGTTTTTCTATCATTACTTTTTAACAGTAGACATCTCAATTGTTTGTTTGGTTGCTTGGAGCCAGCTCAAAGTGCACATCACCGTTTTGATCCCACCAAATCGACAGCATGAACCCATTTGGGTTTCAACTACACTTTGTAGGGGCTCATCACACGCGGATTGTGGCTATTTTCGGCAAATTATATTGAAAACGATGCGTTTTGAATCACCAATGGTGACGGGCACCCGAAGTCCGGAAGATACACGCCGCAAATTGTTGATTGGTTGGTTGTTGTCATTTAAAACAATGTCAATTGGGAGTGGCAAATCTCCTCAGCGGCATCTTTTAGCATCCAAATCTTTACCAGCTAGAAACTCCAAGATCAGTGTGCTTAAATTAACCCAAAATACCGCCAGCTTTTGTGTAGATTAGGCTCTCCCTGCTATCGATTTTGACCGCCTTATTCAAGCGCCAGTCAGTTTAAACAAACCCCTGTTGATCCAAGTGACGCCCGTTTGTTTGTCCACACGGTTAATGTAAACTTGTGACCTCATGAAGATAACGGTAGACGGTTTTTTTTTCAAATTGTCGTCAGGCATCGTCTGAGTTCTCTATCTCACTGGGACAATCATCGGTGCGATCCTGTCTCCATTCGCCCCTCTACTGTCCCTCCCACCACCATCATCTAACCCCTGCCCTCCTCCCCATCTCTCGTCCTCCTCACCGTGTCCGGTTTTGTGCGAATGCCGCCACCGCCGCCTCGCTTCCTCTCTTGTGTCTGAGGCGGTAATGTCGCCTCACCGACTCCGTTTGCGAGGCGTTTTCGGTCGGATGTCCGCTGTAACACCAACACAAGCGCGTTCTCCTCCGCCTCCACCTCCACCACCGTTACCCCCACCACCACCACCTCCCCTTCCGTTTCGCTATATGTACAGCAAACTATGCTCACCATCTGTAACCCCGTGGTTGTTTGACGTCGGTCCCCTACACTCGAGGCGGGGAACCGATCGTAAGGCGAAACAAAGTCATTCTTCATTACCACTACACACGTGCGGCGTTTTACTTTCACTGTGATGCTTTCAGCGTCTAGTAAAATCTACCCAGGCCGTTTGAAATTGCGTTTGCTGGGGACGATTCGGCCAGGTCGTGGTTGGATTGTGGCAGTGAGGCGTCTAGTCTGGACGGCGATCGGATTGAGTCCAGAATGCAGCTTGTCTGAGCTACGCCAGATGGGCAGTGTTTGAAGGCATGAGGGGATGTAGGTGTGTGCCTGTCAACTGCCTTGTCACACCAGTAAGTTGAAAACACAGCCGTAAACGATCGCTACAAAAAAACGCGTTGAATAGTGGAGTTACTCAGAAAGATGGTCGCGTGTGAAAATGTCGGTGTTTGGGTGCTCCAATAGGCACGGTGTGTGCTCGGACGCAGTCTCGATGTCGTTGAAAACGCGTGCAGTGCCACACATAATCCGACAGTTTATGTTATGAAGATGGCAAATGAAGACGACGAATCGCGTGTTAATGTCTTGCAATGTAAAAGAAATCAAAAAATAAACCAGAATCAACACAAATCTGATCTCGTAGATGCCTAGTATATTCGGTCAATCCAGCTTATCAAGAAGTACAATAGTGGTTCATTTTAGTGTGACCTTGTAGGGGTCAAATCAAGGTGAGGTTAGAAGGTCGGCTACACCGACGGAGCTACAAGTTCATCCTGTTGATTGCATTCTCCGAGGGCGACGGCGGTGGCAGCAGCAGAGAGTGCAAATTCAAAGATCGAATAAGTCGTCTTTCGTACACACTGTGGTTTCTAATTGTTGTTGTCGGGGTTCGCGATCCGAAGGTCACCCGCCATCGTCGAATCAGGTGAGGCACGCAGCTGGTGGGCTATCAGCAGAGTGTGCATGCGTGGCAAACCTCGGATCTCTGCTGAAACCACCAACAATCGTCCATATGTGGACGTCATAGGTGATTAAGGCGCCACGCCAATTCAACTAACCGCCTTCAGTGTAATCAGTGGTGACGTGGCTAGCGTGGGGCAGTGTGAAAATGCGTTTTAGTGCCTCTGATATCCAATTACAACGAAAAACAACACGATACATAATGTTCCTCGAGCTTTCTCACTAGCAAACGCGCAGAGAATACGTACACGTGCTCGAGTGCGTGGGCGGGTGTGTGTGACGCGCACGGCATTTCGTCACATTCCGATTGCGCTCCTGCATCTTGTTCCTCGTCACCGCTTTCAATGCACCTGAGCATGAGTCGATGCGAGAGGGAATCAGCTTCTCACAAAAACGTATTTTATCACCCACGGGAAGTTGAGTGGAGAGATCGTCAGTCAGTAACATTGGAGGTACTCGGGTGAACCAGCCATCCTCCAGCATTACCTGAATCGACGAATCGACATGTTCACGCATTGCGTCGAGAAATATATCCATTTAATTGTCCTTTGACATACCCCTCACTCACTGCTAATTCGCAAATGCACCACTACGGAAGGCGTTCGGTTTTAAGAGTTGCGGTGTTAGACAAATGCAAACCGTAATTCACCGTCTCAGTCAAGTGCCAGTAAACCAGTTTAAACCAACCTCTGTTGACCGAAACGACACACAGCTGTTTGGCCAAAATAATAGCATAAATTTGCCACTTCATCATGTTAACATCATCGCCAAGTCGAAATTGTGGTGACGAGTTTAAAAGGAGGCCGTATGGTGTGAGTTCAACACTAGAATCATTCTAACTTGCACCAAATTCAGACGCCTCGGCTTCTGCTGCAATTAGTGTCCAACCTTACGACTGGGGTCTGATGTCAGAAGGCTTGAGGTGTGTGTGTGTGTGTGCTTAGGATGTCTAAAGTTGGTAGCTTGTTTAATTACAACAAACATTTGGGCAATGTGGAAATTAAAGGCACATGTCAATGAAGAGTGGGTGGGTAGGATGACGCCCATTCGAGACGGCTGTTGTCCTCACCTTCAACCAATTGGATCCACGCATCGTTTCAGCAAGGTTGCCGCCACCTGTGCATGCTTTCCTCTATTCTGCGTTGGTCCCCGTTGAACAAATAAAAATAACCTTTTTACAAATCAGCCTCCACGATGGAGCATTTACGGTTAGCTATGCGCTCAAGCGCGACAATCAGGTGTTTGAAAAAAAGGGGGTAGAAGTCACGAGATGTGGAAAAATGTAGTGACGAAATGTCGAGGTGTGCGATGAGGCGATGTGGAGCATTGTTGATGAGAGAGGCGCGTGAACAACAAAATGTGACTAACAGTAAACGGTGTACTCTTTGATATTGTTCCACCCACAGCATGCATTTCACAAGGCTCTTGGGCGAGGTTTGAATTGGGGTGGTGGCGCACAGTGACGACGCGTCGTCTCACTATTTTCGTCGACGAGCTTGTGGTGTTGACGAACACGAAGGTCCGTGGACAGCATGCCAAGTTCTGTGTAACGTTACATCTAGGTAGCAGCTGGAACAACAAAATGCGCCTGAATACGGTGTCGACGCTAGGTGTTTGTTGGTTGACTGGTTGAAGCACAGTTGGGAGGACGTCTGCTTAGAACTGGTACTTCTGTCGGTAGTAGAGAGAAGACAGATGGAACTGCACTGGACCCCATTCCAATCGACAAGTCCAGATCTGCTGAGCACCGCTTGAACACTCGTGGACGTCCATAACTCGAAGGTGCACCAGCCGAAGACAAGGATAGCGATGCGGTGCAGACCAATCGGAACCACTGCTCACCCATCGATGTTCCATGGGTCTTTGAATGATGTCAGGGTGCCGAATGTGTGCTCTCGGACACACACGAACATGTGCAACTTCCTGTCCAATTACTTCGCATATATTTCCACTTAATTTCGCAAACAACGACAGTTCGAGACAACTGTGTGCCTGGTATTTCACCACTTTAATCTGGATTTAAACGGGAGGTTTTGCGAATTTCAACTCAGGATCCTGTGAACTCATTTCATTGACAAGCAGATCCGAGGCGTAGATGCCCAACTCCAACATTCCTGCCTTTCCCTTGTGCCGGGATGACGCGGGCGCTTGCGGGTTGGCGTTTGCGAATCTGTCGATGTTTCTTGCGCCCTGCTGTGCTTTACCAGTACGCAGCAAAGTTCAAAACGCGTGTTCAGGTGAACTGGAGCAAGCACTGGCCATTCATTATCTGACAACCCTGGTTTTTGGCCTAGGAAGCACGTGAAAACATCACGTGCCGACTTGCGTATTTCAGTTTTTTCCGTTGTTAGTCGGGATGGTGATTTCCATTATTCCTTAATGAGTTTTCGCGAAATGTTCTAATCCGCCACACTTTAGGTTGAGAGAAATTGAATTTAGTAGGTCTAATTATCACACAAATTTCAGGAAACAAATGTTTGATACTAATTTTAGTGAGTGGCGGTTGTCAGACTGGTCACTTTTGCACCATTCCACAGGAAGAAATCACAGTTTCGTGTCAGGTGAGCGTGGTAGCCATTTCAGCAGCATCTCCCAGACAGTTTCTGGTTGAGATGTTCTAGAAGGATCGCTATTTCAGTGTGGTGTAGCCTTGTCTTGTTGAATGTTGAACTGAGGATGTTCGTTCGATCAAATTTTGACAGTTAGCTCAGCAGAATTTTGGAAAGAATGTAACTTTTCATTGAAAATAAGACGAATTTCGAAGGTCAAATATGAAAAATCGCCAGAAGTAAAAATCCGCAACCAATTTTAGCAAAAATTAGGGATTCTAGAAAGTCCTCTAAATGTTTTGAATAATCCCATTTGCCGCGCACACTCTTTCCAGCCAATGGGGAGTCGTTTAGTCACCCAATTAAGTGTGCACGCCAGCCAATCGGATTCGTACTACGCAGGATGCTTTTTAGTTAACAAAATCCCCATTTACAAGTTTTAGGCATAAACTACTGGCCATTGTGACACTCAAAGTTTTCACCGTCTTGCAAATTTGGATGCGCAATGTCGTTTTGTGATCGATTAAGCACCTCCGTGTGGTGGAGATTAATTGGCTTACCGCAGACTTTTAGAGCAATTTGACAGTGGGAGATCACGTCGTGGACTACATGTTTGAAGAGTCGGACATCTTAACAAGATGACACTAACACTCGGACGTTAATGGCTTCTGCAATTTTTAAAATTGTCATTAAAGACGGGCTCCACTTCGTACGTACATAGCCCAAAAGACGGCAACTCTCGTGTGTGCGCTCGGAAGACAATTTCACCTGAAAAAAAAGTTGGCCTTCTGCCTGTCTGTGTCTGCATTGCTTGAAAATTCCATATCCTTCGGCCATCTACTGTAACCTTTTCGGAATAAACTTAGTCACCTCGGCTTGCACGCAATGGGCAAATGCACGTCACATGGTTAGACAGTTAAATTACCTAGCTCTGCTAGACTAGAGGGGAGTGTCTTATGTGACTTTGAGGTCTGAATTGTTTAATGAAACCTAACAGCTATGGGATTCTGCCATTTGCGGTCTCAAGTCTGCCTGGAGCTCTAGCGTAACCAATTACTGCGCGTGAGTCTCGATTTACGCACGTGGGCATTAGATTAGGGTGAAACTTAAAAAACTTGAAATTCTGCATTAGGCGGATTTTTTGTCTGCAATTGAGTACGTTTAACCCACAACTTGAGTAGCTTTTCACATCGTGAATCAATACTGGTTAGTGTACTTGCAATCGCAAGCTAACCTACAATGCAATGCAATGGCACAAAACTGTTGTGTGATTCCATCCATTATTCAAGTCACTAACCATGATATTAGCTAAATTCTCTCAACATATTGTATCTGAGCACTTGTATACGGGTCAATGTAATCATCCAGGGGATTGGCGGTTTCGTGATCGTATCCAGGCTAAGAAAAGTGGTCGTGAAACTCCACTTTCGTCAGAGCGTGTTCTTTAAAAGGAATCTATGTCATGGCCAATGATGGGTGTCAACATGGATGCGTCTTGCTCGTGAATGTGTAAGTACATACCATCGGCACCCTTACACCATTCAAAGACCCATGGAACATCGATGGGTGAGCAGTGGTTCCGATTGGTCTGCACCGCATCGCTATCCTTGTCTTCGGC